CCTCCTCTCTTCACCCAAGCAACAGGTAATGATTTCTGGGTTTTTTTTCATTTGGTCCGATTCTCATGCCCATAACCCCTTGCAAGCAAGGTTACAGGCAGTCTACTCTGAAAGGCACTTCTGCAAGATGTGGAGACCAGAGGAATGCATTCCTTCTCTGGCACTGATGGTGGCTTAAGGAGTGGGGGTTCCTACAGCTTTTTCAGACTCCACATTCCTCTGTCGGTGTACAGTTCTGGGGCATCAGGAAAGCTCTGGCTTAGGTGCATCTTCCTGCACTGTTCTGCATTGTTTTCTCTTTAACTGACTGTTCTTGACTAATCCAAGGAGTAAGGCAGACAAGGTCCTGTCTTCACTGAATTTCTAATAAGAGGGATATGGCCAAGGGAATAGGCAGTTACCATATAGTGTGAAGGGTCCATCAGTCAGCTTGTCAGTCAGTCAATGACAACTGGTGAGGGCTTATACCAGAGTGCCAGACACTGTGTTAAGAAATATGGATAAATGAGGCTTGGTGTCTGGAGGAAAGAAATGTCAAACAAATGAGGGATGAATAAACAATTCAAGACAATGTGTGTTCATAAGAAACTTTCAGAGTGCTAGTATCTCTGAGCACCTAAAGGATGGCTGGGCAACCTGGCAGTTGATCCAGTGTAAAGGGCCCAAGAAAAGATTGCCAACCTGAGGTCCCACTGGGGTCTTTAGTCTTATTGCGAGAGCAACTAATGAGTATTATTAGGTGAGAACCAATTGCAGAGTAAGGACAAAGAAAGATGTAAAATCAATAACCTAACCTTCCACCTTAAGAAACTAGAAAAAAAAGTGACCTAAGCACAAAGCAAGCAGGATGAAAGATTAGAGCAGAAATAAATGAAATAGAGAATAGAAAAGCAATGGAGAAAGTCAATAAAATCAAAAGCTTGTTCTTTGAAATGATCAAGAAAATTGATAAACTTTTAGGTAGACTGACCAAGAAGACATCTCTATCATATCTCTGTGTTTAAAAAGGAGTATAAGAGAATGCTATGAACAATTATATGCCAAAAAAAAGATGAAATAATAATTAATTGAAGAGAAAATAGACATTGAATTACCTACTTTAATAGGTGATTACAATGGTATGTGAATTATATCTCAATGAAACTCCTATAAAAATTAAAAGTCTACTGATGGGCACTTAGTATGGTGATTTGCACTGCTATGAACATAAGGGTGCATATATTTTTTCTGATTGGTGTTTCAGGTTTCTTAGGATATATTCCTAGAAGTGGGATCACTGGATGAAATGGCAGTTCCATATTTAAGTTTTTGAGGAACCTCCATACTGTTTTCCATACTGGCCACACCAGTCTGCATTCCCACCAGCAGTGTACTAGGGTTCCCTTTTCTCCACATCCTCACCAGCACTTGTCTTTTGTTGTTTTGTTGATGGTAGCCATTCTGACAAGTGTGAGGTGATATCTCATTGTGGTTTTAATTGGCATCTCCCTGATGATTAGTGACTTTGAACATTTTTTCATGTCTGTTGGTCATCTGTATGTCCACTTTGGAGAAGTGTCTATTCAGGTCTTCTGCCCACTTTTAAATTGGATTGTTTGCCTTCCTTTTGTTGAGTTGTATGAGTTCCTTATATATTTTGGATATTAACCCCTTATCAGTTTTATCCTTGGCAAATATGTTCTTCCATACAGTGGGATCCCTTTTCATTTTGTTGATGGTTTCTTTTGCTGTGCAGAAGGTTTTTTTTTTTTTTTTTTTAAATATATTTTTATTGATTTTGGAGAGAGCGGAAGAGAGAGGGAGAGAGAGAAACATCAATGATGAGAGAGTCATTGATCTGCTGCCTCCTGCACGCCCCCTGCTGGATATAAAGCCCGAAACCTGGGCATGTGCCCTGACCGGGAATCCAACTGCTATCTCCTGGATCATAGGTTGATGCTCAATTGCTGAGCCAGGCTGCCTGGGCTGTGCAGAAGCCTTTTATTTTGATGCAGTCCCATTTGTTTATTTTCTCCTTTGTTTCCCTTGTCCTAGAAGATGTATTGGCAAACATATTGCTACAAGGGATGTCTGAGATTTTGCTGTCTCAGTTTTCTTCTAGGATTTTTATGGTTTCACGACTTACATTTAAGTCTTGTATCTATTTTGGGTTTGTTCTTGTGTATGGTGTAAGTTGGTGGTCTAGTTTCTTTTTTTTTTTTTTTGCATGTACCTGTCCAATTTCCCCAACACCATTTATTGAAGAGACTGTCTTTATTCCATTGTGTGCTCTTGCCTCCTTTGTCAAATATTAATTGAGTGGAATGAGTTGGGCCAATTTCTGGGTTCTCTGTTCTGTTGCATTGATCTGTATGCCTGTTCTTGTGCCTGTACCAGGCTGTTTTGATTATAGTCGCTTTGTAGTATAACTTGATATCTGGTATTTTGATCCCTCTAACTTTGTTCTTTTTTCTCAAGATTGCTGTGGCTATTCTGGGTCTTTTTTGGTTCCACACAAATTTTTGGAGTATTTGTACTAGATCTGTGAAATATGCTGTTGGTGTTTTAATAGGAATTGCATTGAATCTATAGATTGCTTTGGGTAGTATGGACATTTTAATGATGTTAATTCTACCAATCCATGAACACAGTATATTCTTCCACTTGTTTATATCTTCCTCTATCTCTTTTTTCAATGTCCTGTAGTTTTCCAAGTACAAGTCTTTTACCTCTTTGTTTAAGTTTATTCCTAAGTATCTTAATTTTTTGTTGCAGTGGTAAATGGAATTATTTTTTTAGTTTCTCTTTCTGACAATTCATTATTGGTGTATAAAAATGCCATTAATTTCTGGGTGTTAATTTTGTATGTTGCTACATTGCCTAATTCATTTATTAAATCTAGTAGTTTTTTGGTGGCGTCTTTAGGGTTTTCTACGTACAATATCATGTCATCTGTGAATAATGACAGTTTCACTTCCTCCTTTCCAATTTGGATGCCTTTTATGTTTTCTTCTTGTGTGACCATTGTGGCTAAGGCTTCCAGTAGTATGTTGAGTAAGAGTAGTGAAAGCTGACATTCCTGTCTTGTTCCTGTTCTTAGGAGGAAATGGTTTTAGTTTTTGCTCATTGAGTATGATGTTGGCTATAGGTTTGTGATATATGGCCTTTATTATGTTGAGGGATGATACCTCTATGCACACTTTGCTGTGACTTTCCGTACCCAGCTAGTATATGCCTTGAGTCATGGAAGCAACACCCTAGAAGCTTGAAACAGACACCAAGATCTCCTTAGTACAAGACAGGACAAAACCTGGCACCTCTGGCATATCCCACCTGCAGGAGAGAGTGCCTTTCTCTGCTCCCATGTTTTGTTTTGTTTTTTGCCAGATGCAGTTGTGCTCAGTAGGTCATCTCTCTCCTGGAACCCTTCCCTTAATGGGGAGGCCCTTGGGATCAACTGACTGAAAAGCAATAGGATTTTGTACAGCTTATCACCACTATTATATGTGATGGAGTTTCACCAAGAAGTTTCTAAAAAGAATGGGACTTGAGGATCTGTACAATT